GACTACGACTACGACTACTACTACACGTACTACGGGTTTAGTTTGGCCTGTTGCTTAGTGCTGGGCTGCAATTTTGGTCGATCTCCTGGCTTTGGGCCTGTAGACCTGTACAAATGCACGAGGCGCAAGTGTCAGCTGTCACTCTGCGCAGGAACTCCACGCCACTGGGTTTGGCAGCGCGATCGGGCCACCGGGAGATTTGCCGCTTTTCTCGGTTTCGGCGTTCGGGCTCTAGACTACACGCTGAAGGTTTAAGCTGCTGCTTCATCTGAACTTGTGCGAATGTGCTGACAGCCTAAATGCTCAAGCATTTCTGCTTGGGTGTAAGGTGGTTGTTGAGATCGAGGGCTTCGACCCAGGAAATGGATTAACTTGACTGGGTCTGGGAATGATGGTGTTTCATGCTGTTTGTTGTCGATCCCGGTTCGGGCTCAGTGTTCGTTCGCAGTCCGTGATTTATGTCGGGATGTTTCTACCAGTGTTTAGCAGGAAATTTTACGTCGAGCTCTGAAACGCTTTTCCCTCGCGCAGTTCGCTTTGCTCGGAAGTTTCCAAGAAAAAGCGTTCCGCAACAGTCCCTCTAGAGTTCTAGCACAATAGAACCCGCAATCCCTATTGTCATTGTGAAGACTATACAGGCCTCTATGTTTGACTCCATAAACACCCTGGAAAGACTGTGCGAAACCCTTAAAGGAACCCTGCACACGGAAGCTTCGTATAAACCCTGCAATTCTGAACCCGAAAGACTCCCGAAAGGATTTGGCACCTCAAACGCCTGCCATTTTCACCCTGCAAAAGGTCAGCTTCTGTTGGATCACGGCCGAGTCCTTGGTGCTGTGGTACAGGGTTGAGCCCTCTACCCTAAAACCTTAGGCCCTCGTCTGGCAGGTCCGAGTTGCGAGAGCAAAAAAAAATTGAGGGCTTGGCAGGATTCAAAGAGGCTTACAAAAAGGGGTTTACGATAGGCTAGAGCCAGCGATTCGCAAGGCCACTTTACATCACAAGCCTTGTTTGGCCACCCAGAGTTAGGTTTCCGGAGCTAGGATTGAAGATTCGGGAACCATGAAAGGACTAAATCACAAATTGACCCCATCCACATTGAAATACATACGTATGTAATGTAACATTTTCATGTAAACAACAATGTTTGTGTATATGCACACGCATTCTCTATATTATGTTTGTATGTGTATATATATATATATATATCGATCTTCAGTCATAGCTGGAGAACCGTAGCGATTGTTGTTTTCATGCATGAAGTGGGAGTCACCAAGATGTACGTCAAGGCTAGTGCCATGTGTCTATGAACCTTCTCGAGATGCCCCGATTTAAGAGCTCTGCCACACAGAGCACCGACGCCCTGAGGCGGCGATGATAGTCGTCATGGTGGTAGTGGTGGCGGCGTAGTAGTAGATTCCTGTAGATCCCTCAACCCCAGAGAGAGCCTAAACCCTACTCGTAGCCCGTGAAGATCTCACAGTCCACTCCTTGATCTGAAAGGGGCGGACATCGAAGCTGCCGACTGCGGCGCGCGAAGCCCAGTGGGCTCCCGGCTGCGGCCACTTTTGCCTTTCCTGTTTCTCAAACTCAAACCTTGGCGTAGAGCTTTTCTACGGAAGTCTAGAGACCGCCAGATGAACCATTATCATCGTCTCCAGGCAGTGAAAGCATGAAGTCGGTATGTCCGGAACTGCAGCTTAGAGCTAATATGTGGACGGGTGGATGCCGAAGTTTGTCGACTTCCAGCCCTGAAGCTTTGGACTGATCGATCCGAACAGGGGAATTCCCAGAATATGAAAAGGTGCAAGAGCGAACGTACACCTGCCTGCCAAAGCTATGTTAGATGGTTTTGGGGTAGGTCGCAACATTTGGCATGGAAAGGAATTTCCAGGCATGTGATTCTGCGGCATTTGCAAAAGATAGCGACATAAAGGCGTTGGTGCTTGCAACCACGCAGCTGCGGGCCACAAGAACCGTCGCCAAAGCGCGTCGAGCCACTTCCAGCTGAATGTCGACGCTTGGCTTGGTGTTTGTGCGTCAGATTCATGTTCGAATCGTCCGGCTCGCACATCTTTGACAGGGATGTCAAATTGTTCCCTTGCCAGCAGACTCGTCGTATCAAGCAACATACTGCAGCCAGAGTCCAGAGTCAGAGGGTGGAATGCAGGCAGTGGGACAGCAACAAGAGCACACCGCTTTGCGATTGCTGGTAGTGGTAGCAGCAGCAGCAGCGGTAGCAATAGAAGCAGCAGGAAAAGGAGCAGCAGCAGTAGTAGTAGTCGTCGTCGTCGTAACGGAAAGAAGTAAGCAGAGGCAGTGGTGGTGGTGGTGATATGGGCAGCCGCAGAAGTAGTAAGCGGAAGTAACAGTGGGTGGGGGTGGCGGTGGTAGTGGTAGTGGTCGGCAGGACAATGGCTACCAAGCGGCTAAAGTAACCCTGCAAAGTACCAGAATCCACAGGCTACACTCCTGCATTTGGACACTTGTTAATTAGGCCTTCAGCAATATCCGGATTGCAGTGCATACATGCTTGACGACTTTGCTTTCGCGAACAACAGCTGCCAGAGTGTCGGATGGAGGATTCGCAGCCGAGGTCAGTGCCACTTAAAGCGGCACTGCACATTGCAGATGCCGCATCAGGGCAGAGCGGCTTCATCGCCGGCTTCACGTATTACGATACTTAGCAGCTGTTCATGAACTCCTGCTTTGCTACTCAGCTCTTTCCCGAAGCTTCTTGAACCACAAGGCGTACTGCGTCCTGGTAGTACCTTCAACGAAAGGATTCAGGCTGCACAGTTAGAAGCCACAGGAGGATGTCACTGATTTCACCTGTCCGATTGTGAAGTTAACCGGGGCCTTTACGCTTGCAGTTTCTGGTGACGTCTCCATGGGCACACGTGCCAGTCTAAGTACGACAGTGCCTGCATCAAGTTGGGCCTAGGAGCTTTCAAGACAAAGTGCGGCGAACGCAGAGCGAGTGCCCTTGCTTCTTGGCGAAATAGGAGAAACTGTTGAACAGGTTGGAGCTTCGTATCAACCGCAATGGTGCTATGCTGGTTAGTGCATCTCATTGATCTGTGTTGCTCGACTGTTTATGAGGGTCCAGCAATATCTGGCAAGTTGAAGGTCGTAGCAGGCCGTCGTGCCCGAAGTACTCCTTTTTGAAACCTTTTTTTCATCGTGTCATGAAGATTTTCACCCACTAGAGCAACATGTTTTGTACTGCTGTCCACACCTGCATGCACATGTTGCAAATACTAATTTAGGACATCCCAGCACCACAAGGTACCCTTGCTTGCTGCTGGGGGCATTCACCTTCAGCGTGCTTTGCTCCGGCATCACTGCGCACCGTGAGGTGAATTCAGTGTTTCGGGTCTACCGGAGTTCCCAAACACTACTGGGAGCTAGGATTAGGGGGACCCTTGGGGATATAGACTCAATATAGACCCTCTCAATAAGGTCCCTGTGAAGCGAGCCAACAGGAGGGTTCAGAAGGGGTACCCTTTAAGGGGTACCCCTAATAATACTACCTAACTACATAGCTTCCTCTCAAGCCCACAGTGCCAAATTTTGGATTTCTTGGTTTCAGGAGCCAGATCGGAAGTGGTTCTACCGGTGTAATGTTGGACTGTGTTTGGTGGGGTCCTCCCAAACAGTCTCCGGTGCCTTGAACAGGGTGCTTTCCAGACCCCGCCCCTCACCTGTGCAGTAGTGCTGTAGCTATACATTGGTACAGTAATGTTGCATTGTTTTTTTCCCGGGGGGGCCCCCCACCCCAATAAAAACTCGGAAAGCATGTTCATTTTTAGGGGGTATTTGTTTATTTCTACTGCTACTGTTGAGGGGTTGTGCTCTTGCCCCTGCTCTGGCTCTTGCTCCCGCGCTGACTTTTGCTCCTGCTTCTGCTGCGTCTCTCGCGCCTGCTCCTGCTTTTGCTCCTGCTCTCGCTCTTACTCCCGCTCCTGCTTTTGCTTTGCTCTTGCTGCTGCTCTTGCTCTAACTCCCGCTCTAACTCCTGCTCTTGCTTTTGCTCTTGCTCTTACTGTGCTCTATAAGGGTAATTTGGAGCCTCAAAACCCTCCACGTAATTCAGAATAGGTGTTAAAGGGCAGGGATGATTTCGGGAGGACTCGTCGTCCCAATGTGTTTTTTATATTAGGGGGGGTAGAATACAGGGGCAGCGATTAGTAATGATTAGTATAGACCCATGAGTAGTACAGTAGTTCACGAATCCAGCGGGACAGTAGTCATGCACTCGTCACTAGTAGAGTAGTGCAATGGCACAATAGCAGTACATGGCTATTGAAGCGCAGTTGTACAGTAGCACAGCAATACATAGATTAACTAGCACTACACTAGTATTGCAGCAGCACAGTAACACTTTTTTCAAGTAGTTACATTGGTAGAGATGCACATTAGTGTTTCTTTTAAATATGCATTATAATTAGTGCAACTGTAGTACATCCATCAATAGGTCAATATTACTACAAGAGGCTTCCCGAAAAGGCTCCCGAACCCTCCAAACTCAAGCCTCAGGTCTGTCCAAAACTTTCATTATGAAGCCTGGGGCCTTGTCCTGTTCTCGTCTAGTGTATAAAGCTTGCCACCGGAAAAAGCGCAGTCCAACAGTAATCCCTTTGGGCCGTGTGCCGTGTAATGTTGTACATTAGGGTACGTCGTTTAGGTGCCATGTAAGGCAGTGGGTTTAGAGTTCAGGACTCAGGGCTCATTCTTTAGTTGTGTTTCAATCTGTTGATCATAGTTTCCTCAATGTTTGCAACAAGGGCCGCCAACAAATGACTGTTGCCTGCCTTCTGAGGGGAGTAAAGACAACGCACAATCTCTTGATGCAAGGTACTTGCACCTTTCCGTCGACGAGTGCGAGCCCTGTCAGGTGAGCAACATGCATCATGCTGGCTGCTGAATGCTGCAGCATGTTTGGTTTCGGACGTATAGGGTCTCTGGACTTGTAGTGTGCACATGTGATTTGTGCAGAGACAGGGACACAGGAGGGATGAGAGCAGCACCTTTGTCCAACCTTGCATTCAAGGATCAGTTGCTGGGGCTCTTTTGGAGGGCTTGCTGAAACCGTAAACCCTGCTGCGTGTGCGAGAGTGAGAGTCGAAACCCTGATGTCGGATACCCGGTTTACTAGGTACGATCGGCTTGTCACAAATCAGGGCTTCCTCGCGAGTTCGCGAGTGGCGTCCCTCTTGTAGCCTATGCGGTTTGTCGGAACCTGTGGGATCATATACTATAAAACAGGGTTGTCATAATCTCACAGAAACGACGGGGAATTGAGAAGGGAACAGACAGAGCCCGTCACAGGAGAGGCGTTTAGCAGCGCTGCACCGCCGCTCCTCCTGCTTGACTGTGGCCACATTGGCCTACTGGTGCAATCGGTGCTTGGGCTGGTCCCATAGAGCTATAGCCTACGCGGCAACGGCAGCCACGGGCAAACCATTCAGATTAGCGTGATTAGTGCATCGACAGCATATACAGCATCACCCGAGAAACTCCCAGCTTGGGCACCGTCCAGAACCACTATCATCCTCCTACTAGCACTGCGCCGACACCGCTATGACCGCCAAGACGAGGATTTAGTAGTATTCCTTCTGTTGATTTGTCGCCGCCTTTCTAGTCAGTATGAGCACCTCTGTGATGATCAAAGTTTAGTCGTTGATGATGATGATGATGATGATGATGATGGTGATGGTGATGGTGATGGTGATGATGATGATGATGACAACGGCGACCAGTGTGATGATGAAAGGAAGGCAAAGACGCCGACGATGACGGTCTGGTCTTTGTCGACAGGCCGGTGAGGATGATGATGGTGCAGGCGATGAGGGCCATGATAGGGAGAAGACCATTGCAAGGGATGGCATGCAGTCGCAGACGCACCTGCGGATGCTGATGCTACATGCACATGCGAGTATGTTGCTGCACTTACTTACAGGGAGCTCAAGTTCATCACTTCTAGAAGTCATTCGTCGAGACGAGCGAATACGTGGGACAATGTGTCTTCGATTTCCCTCTTATTTCCCATCTACTTATTGTTCGCAGTCATCATTGCCACATATTGAAGCCGTTTTGGCGTATGCTTGCCGTTGTAGGGCTGCTCACTACTATTCCAGTTACTTGTCGCACCGCTACAGCATTTTTCGTATATCGGCCATGCGACATTGGAAGTGCCACCGTCAGGGTTCAAGCTGGTTTACAGGGTATTTTGTCCGTCGTAGTTGAACCCCACGAACAGGGCAACATTCGGCTTCTGATTGTTGCATTGGCTAAGTACTAGTTTCTAGACTGTTCTATTCTGTTTACGACATGCAAAAGCACGTAGACTGAGTGTCTCAGACCCGGTGACATGCAACATAATCACCGCGGCGCCACAACACGCACAGCAGCACTGGTATGTGCCATTCTACTGCTAAAATAAGTACCTGGAAGCAGGACTTCTTGGCCTCAAACCTCCCGTTATTGGCATTTATGTTGGCCCCAAGCCGCTGACACTGGCATCGTGTGA